TATAAATTTTGACTAAAGTGTTGACCCTTAAAGTGCTTGTAGCAATATTAGTCACACTAATGGTAGAGGTTTCCTGATTATTGTAGGGTGTCTTATTTCATGTTGGCAGCTGTTTACACATTGGAGTACTTTGGCTAATATATTTGGTTGTTAAACTAAATTTGTTTGGTACATTGGGCCATGGAAGAAGCCTTTTGTCATAGTTTTAACCTTACATTCATCAAGTAATATGTTAAAATCCTTCTTTAAAATGCAGACTACCTAGCAAAGACAATATGGCTGACTCCCAACAAGGTTCATCTTATGATAATGATTTTGTTCACCAGTACTGCCTGATGAAAGCAATGATTTCTAAAGTTTTGAAATAGATTATTGGAGCTGGGAATAATTTTACTGCAAATACCGTCAGTAATTTTGAATCCGAAAATGATGTTGAATATCAGTCTGGTGTACATGATGGATGGACAAAAACAGATGGCATGCTGGTCAACACCTTATTCAACAATATTTTGCAATGTAGAAAAGGATGAATACCATGCCTAATTATAATACAGGTAAGTTAAAAATAGAATGCAGGTTTCATTTCTTTTCTCACACAGCTGCAAAAGGTCTTCTCCTTCAGGCTATATAGTTAGGAAAGGGTGAAGATGAACAAAAAAAATAATCTAAAAATTTTTCAAAAGTAAGGATATTTATTTGATAAGAATACCTGTTTGAACAAGCACACTATGGCTTAGTTGGATATTGATTCAAGAAAGTTAAACTTTGGCAGAGCTCATATTAGTGAATAATTTTATCCAGGAGACAATACCTATGAGCTCTGAAAAATTGTACATAAAAACCATAAAGAACAGTTTCCCATCATGTTCTAGCCAGCTGTATATATACCCCTTCAGATGGCAGAATGAAAGAGGTTTCCCAACACAGAACACTATTCATACACATAAAGAAGTGATAAAGCACAGAAATAATTAATAATTAATAAATTAGTGCTTATTCAGCCAGGGGTGACATATTTTGAGGATTTTAATTTCAAAAGTGCTCTAACAGTGGAGCAGGAAGAAAGATATTAAGGTGCTAGGTAAATATTGAACTACTGCTGTTCTTCCACCCCGCCCCTTATATTGGTGACAAAGGTGGAGGTCACCCATTTAGATAATCATGGCAGCAGCTTTGGGTGTGGGGTTTCACCATGCAGCACCAGCACTGCCATTACCTCCACAACTGAACATGCCTTCTCAGCAGGGCCAATATAATCATGCTAGAGAAGTATATCATAGTACTGATTATGGTGGCGCTCTACAGTTTCGTATTGAGCATAGGGTTAAAATTTTAAAGAAAAAGAGTTTCCCTGGGTTGCCTCACTAGTATATTTAAGAGACTTTGTAAATCTTAGGTGTTGTTCAAAGAACCTTTAATTCCCTTTATTTTGATGTATGATTGATGGGTGTAATATGGGTTAGAGAATATACAGCTTGGCCTTACTCCAGATGTGCACCTTTCAAAAACGTGCTAGCTCTACTTGCTCAATTTCACTTCTCGAACTTCAGAGGTAAATTGTAAAAAAAAGAGCCGATAACTTTTTTTACATTTTATGTATTTGGTAGTTCAGTCATTGCACTTTTAGAAGCTGGTATTATCTAGTTTGGCAAAATTCATTTTCCATATTTTTATAGCTGCCAAGAATAGTGTACTTTAGACAAATTTAGGTTGATTTTTGGAGCACAAGGGAGCAGTCATTTTAGTTAGCAGTGTCCCAAGATCATTTAAAATTTCCAAAAGTACAATATCCAAAGAAATTTCATCCACATTACATGAAAGTAGTATATAGGTATGCCAACATTCTCTGCACTGTGCATGTTTAAAATGCAAACAACTTCACCTTACATACATCACTCTCTCAAAAGTACATAATAACTGGTGAGCGCCACCATAATGAGAATATAGGTATTATTATTGTATGATTTAATTTTGATTGTACGACTGAAATATTTAAGTCGCAAGCATCAAAACAGTCCTTTGTAATAATTGTCATGTATTTCCCCCTCAGAACAGCATTTATTAGAGTCCGAGTCTTAAACCGGTACAGCCCCCCTCCTTATGATAAAAAGTGAACTATTTTAAAAATGCGCATTGCATTTTGTCAACATAGCAACCAGTGTTATGCTGATAGACAGGAACATGAAACTAGCCATATTTATTCCTGAGATGTCAACAATAAATTTTACAGTTATAAAAGGGATATAACAGGTGAGGTTCATAAAGGTCAAAGGTCAAAGGGTAAATATTAACTAATTCTTTGATATGGAAGAAAGCAAATTTGCTTTGTTATCATTTATTTTTTAATTTCATTGCAAATAAATGAAATAAAACATTTTCACTATGGATTTCTTTTACTTAATGCAACATTTTTCAATTTAAGTTGACTTTATTCCTATATTCTAAGACTTCTAATTTCCCCATAATGAAGGTCACTACTCACCCAAACATGCCTCATATCAAATTATGTATGCTAGAGCAAAAATAAGCATAATTAGCTTATTTTCATGAATAAAATCATTGTTAATGTACCATTTTACTCAGAACATCATAGATAATAATATGAAAATAAGAAAAATAATTTCATAAATGTTTATATTTGTTTTTAAGGTGGCGCTCTACAGTTTCGTATTGAGCATAGGGTTAAAATTTTAAAGAGTTTCCCCGGGTTGCCTCACTAGTTATACTGGTTATTTAAAAGAGACTTTGTATATCTTAGGTGTTGTTCAAAGAACCTTTAATTCCCTTTATTTTGATGTATGATTGATGGGTGTAATATAGGTTAGAGAATATACAGCTTGGCCTTACTCTAGATGTGCACCTTTCAAAAACGTGCTAGCTCTACTTGCTCATTTTCACTTCTCGAACTTCAGAGGTAAATTGTAAAAAAAAGAGCAGATAACTTTTTTTACATTTTATGTATTTGGTAGTTCAGTCATTGCACTTTTAGAAGCTGGTATTATCTAGTTTGGCAAAATTCATTTTCCATATTTTAATAGCTGCCAAGAATAGTGTACTTTAGACAAATTTAGGTTGATTTTTGGAGCACAAGGCAGCAATCATTTTAGTTAGCAGTATCCCAAGATCATTTAAAATTTCCAAAAGTACAATATCCAAAGAAATTTCATCCACATTACATGAAAGTAGTATATAGGTATGCCAACATTCTCTGCACTGTGCATGTTTAAAATGCAAACAACTTCACCTTACATACATCACTCTCTCAAAAGTACATAATAACTGGTGAGCGCCACCTATGGTGGTCTTTCGTGGAATAGCCAGTACCAGACTTTGGTATCAAATGCCAATTGACTACAGACAACACTGTCTCTGATACAGTATCAACCTACATTGGTGTTTCCCAGAACAGGATATGGTGATCTATTTTCTCAGTATATCTGGTCCTATCTTCATGACACAGATAGTTCCCAACAACCAGTCTCAGCACAGACCCGACATTTTATTTGTGGTAGTGGCATCAAAAAATGTTATTCATTCAGTACAGGATTCCAGGAAGGATTTTGGTCTTACACGAGACGACTTGGCTCCATCACGACACAACACTCTACATTGTTGCTTCAGTACTTAATGCCCAGTACCACTGCTGACCATTGAATATTGCCCCATGAATATTTGGAGACACTTGGCACAGTCCCCAGTCTTCTTAACTGTTTATTGTTGTTGACATGGCAGAAGGCATCAGTATCACCTTATTCTTACGTCTTTGAGGAATCGGCATTCTTGAAGTCCATAGAAAACTCAGCCTTACACATGTTCATTAAAGGTTTCTGGTTCCTGCTTCCAGAGTTTTATCTGCCTTGTACACCATCATTAGTAACAAAATGTTCACATCTGTCCTACTGGCCTAGAAAGGAACCGGATATTCAAGCATCTAACCCTGTCTGTCGGGTTGCTCGTTTATTGTCTAGAGAATCAGATTATGTATAAACAGATATTACTTTTTGCAGCGATGACTTCCATCAAGTTAATAAAGCTTTTCACAGGACTTTTATGACTACCTTGGAGTTCTAGTCGTCACCAGAGACAGTGCATGCTTGGTAATGTGAAAATCCTTAGCACACAACATCTGGTTCAAAATGATTTGGTTTTATCCCCGCTCGATCTGGATGGCCGTGTCTAAATGTCAGTAATGTGAACACAACCTAGACTATTCTGTTTGTAATCCTGCAGGTCAAACTTGGGAGTCATTATTTGGGATGGCATATGATTTGAACAGAGCAGCACAATACATGCATGCCTGATTCGATGTGACATTAGTGAATTTGCAGCTTGTGAAAAGCAATGACTTTACATATTTGCCTTCTTTTCGAACTTCATAAAGACAGTTACTGTCGTCCAACCAGCTCTTTCATGTAGTCTACAGGATGTCAGAAAATAATCAACCCTCTCAAAGGCCCAGAAACTTTGAGCTCAGCTCTTATTGTACAGGAGGGTCAGAGAAGCAGGCTGGATCTCATTTCTGAGATAAGTTTTCATGGACAGCTGATGACAAACCATAGAGACGCAAGTTTTATCTCAAACTCAGTTTCTCTCACTGACAAGGGCCGCTACGGTGGTCTACTTTTTAGAGGAGCGTATGCCTCGGATGTAGGAGGTCGTGGGTTAGAACCCCTGCTGAGTCGTACCAAAGGCTTTATAAAAGGTATTAATTACTGCCTCGCTAGGCGTTCAGAATTAAGAGGTTAGTGTTAGGACTAATCGGCCAGATGTCGGGATAATGTACTAGGTGAGACATCATGAAATATATCTGCAGCATGATGCCCAAGTGCTAGACTACTAAACTGTCACACTGCAGACATCGTAGCGATATGACTGAACAAATTGTTAAAGCTACGTTAAATCTCTCTCTCTCTCTCTCTCTCTCTCTCTCTCTCTCTCTCTCTCTCTCTCTCTCTCTCTCTCTCTCTCTCTCTCTCTCTCTCTCTCTCTCTCTCTCAACCGCTCCTGTGACCTAGTGTTTAAAGCGTCCGCTTCGGATGCGGGAGATCTTGGGTTCGATCCCCGGTCGGGTCATACCAAAGACTTACAAAAATGGTACTAACAGCTGCCTCGCTTAACGCTCAGCATTAAGAGATTAGTGTTAGGACTGGTCATCCTGGTGTCAGGATAATGACTAGGTGGAACATCATACTACATGTCTGGGGCATGATGTCCCAGTGCTGGACATCACTATGAACTGCCACACTGCAGACATCGTAGCGATATGACTGAAAAATTGTTAAAGCTACATTAAAAATCATAATCATATTACATCTCTCTCTCTCTCTCTCTCTCTCTCTCTCTCTCTCTCTCTCTCTCTCTCTCTCTCTCTCTCTCTCTCAATTTCTCTAAATATCAATCTCTCACGGACAGTCTGTCTCACGGACAGACTCCGCCATGAAGCAAATGACACGATGATCTTGCCACCTTTTCTATATCGGGGGACACCAACACTTCAACACAGAGTGGGAAAGACCTTGCCATGATGACCCATGCAGATCGTCTTCACTTTCCACATTGTCAGCGGCATCGTCTGTTACAGAAGTCCCAACATTCAAAACCAATGTTCTGCAGCATGAAGTATAAACAATCGCGTCACTATAATCGTGGTGGAGATTTTTCAAAACGTAAACTACCCAGTAATAGATATAAGCAATCTTTACCTCTTCACTGTGACACCATATATCAGAATCGAGACAAAACACTAGTTAGCAACGCTATTTAGGATGGAGATTTTTGTACTCTGTTTAGATCTTCAAGATGCGTACTTTTACATGTTTGAATCCATAAGTCTTTCAAGCATTTACTGAGGTTTTCTTTCAGGGATACCATGTACTAATTAAGACGCTACTTTTACATCTGAACATCATTGTCCTAAGTTTCATAAGGGTTATGGACACATTTGAGTCGCACTGAAGAACTGCCTCCATATCCACGACTTCCAACTACATGGACGGCATTAAGCAAAAGCAACAGGTGAGTCACATTTTGGATAAAGACATTAAATCCTTTTTGAAAAGGGCAAATCCCATATCGCCATATTATGGCATTGTACCTAGTTTCATATGGACTTTAAAATTCATTGAAACGGAATCTATCTCCTACAGGAATATGCCTTGAAAATCCTCATGACGGTGTCTACAGTTCTGTTGAAAAGAAACATTAATTTCTTTGCCTATTAGATTTCCTCATCGCAGTAGCACATCCCTTAATCCTGGGCGGCTTGTTTATGATGTCAATGCAGATGCAGATGATACTTATATTCCAGTGGCGACTGACCAAAGGATCCCAGGTTTTTGGATTATGTTGGGTCCCATCGCAGCAAATGGGGGAAAACGCACCTGGCTTAAGATTTCGATCCCCGGCACATTCAAAATTATTATATAACCTCAAGCTCTGTAGTCCTGGGTATGATTGGGTTATCCTCTCGGCATAGAGGACTAATGCAAAATAAAAGTTTCCTGCGCATATCAGTTCGCAAGTTTTCGCCAGTAGCTGCTAGTATAGCATTCGAACATAACTCCTTTAGATTTGACATTGTCGGAGCCGTTGGATGGAGGGCAAGGACGGCATTATTTAGTATTTACCTCGAAGACCTGTCATCGCAGAGTTTATTTTGACCTGGTATAACATAGTAGCTTACAAGCTTAATCTAGACATATATTAACGCTAATTCTAATCTGCCTCTGATGAGTTTTGAAGCTGCTTCACTTACATTTAATACTCCTCGACCAATCATAATACGAGCACATCCGCCCAGTCTCTCTGCAGTTACATCTAAATATGTTAGACAGGACACATCAGCTCTAGTGATAAGTTATGTATGAAACAGATTTCATGCTATTTTCTCACTCCAAACGGAGAAAACTCTTATCTGAATAGCACCTTAATAGCTGACAAAATGTATTGCTTCTGGTAATAAAAACAAGCTTGGGAACGCTATATTGGCGAGGTAGTGATTGTGGTCTTCCATTGTATTACGTATATGTAATTTATTTGTTTTAAATTTTTTATTTATTTCATTTTATTTTATTTTTTTTACATGTTATTGAGATGATAATTTTGTCTCCTGGATTTGTGTTTGTATTTTTTTTTTTAAAAAATCAGTTTAGTTCTCTTATGACCTAGTAAACAACCAGTAATGAAACATTGTATCTTCTGCTGACCATGACTCAGGACCAGCAAGGCAGTTTTATCTAAACAACTTTTCTTCCAGGGTAGGAATCATTGGCTTTTAGCTAAGGCTATAAAAGAGTACACGATAATTGTTATGTAATGTTTTTATGTTGTACAGTAGAGAAGTGATCACGTGACCCTATCCAGTGGAATATTCTCCGTAGTAGTTAAGCTTAAAACATTATTATGGTTGCACTCTACAGTTTCGTAATTTTGCATAGGGTTTCATCACTAATTATACTGGCAATTTTAAAAAGGACCTTGCATATCTTAAGAATTGTTCAAAGAACCTTCAATTCCCTTTATTTTGGTGTATGATTGATGGGTTATTATGGGTTATAGAGTATACAGCTTGGCCTTACTCCAGATGTGCACCTTTCAAAGAAGAGCTAGTTCCACTTGGTCATTTTCACTTTCTCAACTTCAGAGGTAAATTGTGAAGAAAAGAAGCCGATAAATTTTTTACATTTTATATATTTAATAATTCATTCATTGTACTTTCATAAGCTGTTATTGTCTTGTCTGGCAAAATTCATTCTCTCTATTATAATAGCGGCTAAGGTTAGTGTACTTAGACAAATTCATGCTGACTTTTGGAGCACAAGTGAGCAGTCATTTTAGTTAGCAGTGTGCTAAGATCATTTACAATTTCTAAAAGTTCAATATCCAAAGAAATGTCAGTCATATTACATTAAAATAGCATAGAGGTATGCCAACATTCTCTCCACTGTGCATATTCTAAATGCAAACAACTTCATATTACATACGTCACTCTCTCAAAAGTACATAATAACTGGTGATCGCTTCCTATTGTGATTTTAGCCAGTCTTGCTTTTCACCTTAGGAGCTCAAAGGTGTATTTGTTGTGACCATTCTGAGTTGAAATTTTTCTTTTTTTCGGAATGTTACTTTTATGTAATTTAATTTATTCTGTGTTAGTTTTAAAGTGTTTTTTTTAGATATATTTCATTGCAAGTTATTATTATAATAACTTCATTCACTGCATTTGACATTTTCAGAAAATTCACTTCAGTTGCTACATTGTATATTTAGCTGACCTAGCTCCAGACCTTGGTTCAGAAATTCGTAAATACAGAGTGAAAATCATTGGTCGTAATGAAGGCCATTCTTGGCATGCGTCAGCTATGTTGTAAACAAACGTTTTTTTTATTTTTCATTATTGAATTTTATTGTAAGATTCGTTGGGTACGACCAAATTCGTCCATGGCGTACGTGTCAAATGTCTCATGGGCATTCTGCGCCATTCGAATTAAGTGACCACGTGATCCCGTTCCTAGTGTTTTTCTGGCAGTTTTATACCTTTCGGAACTCAAATATATTTTGTGTTGTGACCAGTTGAGTTAAAATTGTTATTATAAATAATTTATTTTTCCTGGAGATATAAGTGACAAAGACATTTATTGAAAATGATTCGGTTATCTAAATCAGGAATATTTTTTTTATTTATAAAATTCAGTGAGGAACTGTTGACATATCAGTTCAATGCTGCATTCATCTAACGTCATCATCATCCATCCTGGAACGTCATCGGGATTCGAACTTTGATTAGATTAGAACTTTCTGTGATATTACTTACATTTTTAAATTCTAGGATTAATTGTTGGATTATATTCACAAATCGCAAGTCCGTTTTGATATTTACCTTGTTTTCTAGAAAAAATATTGTTGTTAACATTTACAAAGCTTTTCGGCTTCACTCTTTTCTTTGTTAAATTTGAATGAGCCTAAACACGTAACAAAGCAAATTGGGATTCTCGTCCGTGGGATATATGAATTTTGACTATATTATTTCAGAAAATTGTTTTTTGAAATTTTTTTCCTAAGTTTTTAAAAATATTTTACATCCCATGTATCATTGCATATTTTGTTTGAAATCTTTAGTGAAAACAGCAACTTTTTCATAATGTGATCAAAAGTGAAACGTTTCTTTCTAGTCCTATTCAAGAGTAGTTGGATAGTTTAAAAAAGATAAATTGCTTGAACTTGCCAGAAAAAATAGTATTTCCGAGACAAAAGTTTCCTCAACGAAGCAAGAAATTAAAACCAGTATTTGTATTAAAGATTCAGTATTTGGTATTAAAGAATAATTTAAATAAAAGTGTTTTGGCTGCAATCAATAAGTCTGCATCAGACTCTGATACAAAAGTAAAGGAATTGAAATTAAAATACAAGATAGAATTACAGCTAAGAAAGATAAAGAAACAATGCAGCTGAAATTTGAGAAAGAGGAGAGAGAAACAATTGCAGCTGCCATTGGAGAAAGAAACATAATACATTTACAATAAGAAAAACAAAAGGTCGTTGCAGTTTGATAAAGAAAAGAGAAGAGAACAGAGAGAGAGAGAGAGAGAGAGAGAGAGAGAGAGAGAGAGAGAGAGAGAGAGAGAGAGAGAGAGAGAGAGAGAGAGAGAGAGAGAGAGAAAGAATGGTGGTGGAAGTGGATATTAACATTTTATTATAAAAAATATTGCATAACATTTTTTCAGATAATTAACTGGCGTGCTTTATTGGCCATCAGTAGCTTTGTCTGCAATATTAATGAAACAATTATAGTTACAATTTGAGAAAGAGGAGAGGGAGAGGAAGATTAACAAATGCAATTGGAGTCACAGAAAGAACAAATACTCTTGCAGATGCAAAAAGAGAAGGATGAAGGGAATTTCAAATTAGAATGAAAGAAGTGGAGCTGGCAAATGAACATCACAGTCCCTCTTCACATACAAATTCAAGTTTTGACATTAAAACGACTTTTAGGCTAGTACCCCCTTTTAGCGAAAGAAGTAGACAAATATTTTATTTATTTTGAAACAGCTGCTGCAAATTTGAAATGGCTAAGG